TGGTTTATTATTAATATAAAAATAATTTATAAGAAATCTTTATTTTTAAATGTATTTTATTATATAATATTAATCATTGTTACTGTCTATCATTGTCTAAATGTATTTTTACTATCTAAATATATGTATTCAGCTAGTGTAAACATGCACGATGCTATCACAGCTAATGCGAGGCTGAGGCTTTGTTTCCAATGATAGACGTGCTGCGTGACTCATTTCCCTGCGCGTACAACTTATCATAGGTCGGCGTTCACGGTTTGACTTCTGAGATTCAGTCCTCTTATCATATAGGTGGCACTACTTTTTCTCTCACCTATAGGAGAGCTGCAGTAATATTAAATTTCATGTCAATAGTCCTATTAGAAATATATTTACTGAAAAAAATGTTGACACATTCAATACTTATTTTCCCCGCTGTATATACAATAGTGTTTAAGAAGAATGTTGAAAGTTGAAAGTGTTTCTTTCAACATGACAATGACCCGAAACAGATCTACAGCTCTATAATGGAGTAGCTCAAAACAATGGGCATGGAGGAATGGACAACAATTTCGCTGATTAATGTAAACAAGTAATGCTTTCAAGAGGTTGCATCTGCTAATACAAGGTACAGTGGTGCCTGCGGTTCACAAATGCTGTAGTCTACGAACAATTTCGTTCACAACCAAAAATTTCATGAAAAAAATGCATTGGTTCACGTACAGAATTTCGTTGAACAGATTCCTCAACCATTTTTTTATAATAGTGTAGCACCGGCGGGGCGCATGTCCCAGCATGCCCCGTGTGCAACTGTAAATAGAACGACCACAACAGGCACCCAACGAGCAACGAACCCAAATACACAGATGGGAAACACAAGGTTGTAAGATGTCGAACTGCAAGATCCACACATGGTGGAAGATTTCCACACTCTAAATACACGCCAGGATTGGACCGGGTACACACAAGACATGGGCAAACACGTTTGACTATAGGGAAATGCAACCATAAACATTAACAACAACAACAATACAATGGATAAGGACTCTAATTAAGGAGCGTGATTTCCCTGGCAAGCAAGTCTCCATGTCTCTCTCTGCTCCCATGATGCCTCGGTCTGCCCGTCGCCACACTATATTGTGTTTTTCTTTAAAGTTTTTACTATAAAAACCAGAAAACTGATTAACAAAAATTATTATTTGGTAGGATTGTGAATGGATTAATCAAATTTCAATGCTTTCTTATGGGAAAAATTGCCTTGGTTCACATACAAATTGGTTCACCACTTTCCTGGAATGTTCGTGAACCGCAGGCACCACTGTACTAAGGGTAAGAATGCACTTACTTTTTCTCCACAAAGTTATTCTGTTGAATAATATTGAATAAATGACTTTGAAGTCAAAAGTGTTTACCCCGACCTGTTGGACTCTTGCTCCTGTTTCCCTGCCCTGCATACCAGCACTGCATGACAAAGCTGTGCAGATTGCTCATTTTAATTGTCAATCCTTTAATTAAACACACGCACAGAGATTTTATATATAGCCACAGACAAAATTAAGAGACCAATCTATATTTTTAAACAAATCTACATTTTTAAATCCCAGTTTAATCATGATTCTGCTGGCAGAAGGTTGCGCTGAGCAGCAGGTTGCTTCCAGGTTCACAATTTCTTCCTGTTCTAAAGAAGCCAAATCTTGAATTTAGTGATTTATGAAATTATAGACCTATCTGAAATCTTCCTTACATTTCAAAGATCCTGGAAAAAGCTGTCTGCATTCCCTCTTGCCTCTCCCTCCTACTTATGCTGTCATAGCCATATCTGCCAGAGCTAACATATTGCACTCACCTAAGCACATTTTCCCACTCCTTCAAGCACTCAAAGTGCTTTACAGTTTGCCTCACATTCACCCATTCACACACTGGTAGTGGAGGCTACTACACAAGGCACCAACCTGCTTACCGGGAGCAATTTGGGGTTCAGCATTCTGCTCAAAGACACTTCGATGGGGTCAGGAGGAGCAAGGGCTCAAACCTGCAACTCTCTGGTTGTCAAACGGTAGCCCTACCTCCTGTGCCACCATCACCCCACCTACCTGTTTGCATTGCCTCTAATATCTCATACATTGGCTAATTGCACACTTGATTTCCCCTACTCCTCCTGGGATGTGCTGCCTGGCAACTCCAATTTATCAAGATATTCTGCCTACCCTGCTGCCTGCGATGTCTCCACTACCTGCAGCGTCTTTCTGGGCTGCTCTCCCTTCTGCCTATGATGTCTTTCCTGTGTGCCCTGCTGCTATACCACTGTTTGTCCTACCATTAGAAGCAGCACCAGTACCTGCCTGCCATCACATACATACCCCCACTTTGAGACTCAAATGTAAAAATTGGGACGGGTAAAAAACTGCTACGGGTGGCTGCCCCTCGCAAACAACTTACTCTGCAAAGAGCAAGTTGAGGGAGGCGTAAAAACAATTTCCCCAAGGGGATCAATAAAGTATCTATAAAAATTGGGACAGTGTGAATCGGAACTTTGCCAAATTGCTAATTTGACTTCTTTTTTGAATAGGTGTCAGGGAAGCGATTCCTTGTCTTCATCTCAAATACCTGCCAGTCGGTTTGCATCTGGAGTCACTTCTGTTGGTAAAGATACTCTGCGACCCCACACTTCATGCTGTCCATTCTTCAAAATAGCCAATTTCAAAGCTGTGATGCCATCATTGAAGAAAACCTCAAATGTTGGGTGGAAGTTTGGGCCATAGTTACAGAAAAAATCTTGGGACTGAAAGAGAAAAAATATTTAAAATTTAACAAAATCTACAAAAGGAATTTCCTATGATTTACAAAGGCTGTAAACTGTGTAAAGGCTTGAACAGTACATAACCAATGCTGGAAGCCAAAGCTCTTGACCAGGGCTGAGTGAAGACACATGATACGCTTCAAACCATTTTGCTTGTAAAAAGCAAGAAAATGTTGACTTTGCTATTAACTATAATGGCCATGAGGAGTCAGTATTTGTTGAACTGTTCAAAGTTGCTGCTTTATTATATTACTAGTTTTTATTTAGACAGTAATAGCAATTCACATATGATGCTCATTACCTCAGGCTGGATTTCATGATGTCCTTTGAGGTCAGAGGTAACTTTGTATTTCTGGTTTCGGGTCAAGGTGCAGTCTGAGCTGGTTTTTATGTATCTGCACTCAGTGTGCTGTTTGGTCACCTGAAGAGACACACAGAAATATACAGTATTCAGGTACAGTACACACTAGAGCCTGAAGTGATTTTGTCTCTGGTACAGATGCAGATTTTTAGGAAACAGAAATTCCAATATGCAATAACATTGACCAATATTTTACATGGCAAAAAAATTTAACAGGGCTTTAGTAAAACTTCTTTACTGACTGATATGATTATGTAAATTTCTCAAACTCAAGCAGAAACTCAAATGTGTTGTACCTACTAGGTACAATGACAATAAAGTAAATAAAGTGAATGAACACTTGGAACCAATTTTTTGAATTGCAGTACCAGTCAAACGTTTGGGCACGCCAAGCTGCCTACAAAGGACATTGATAGTGTTGCATCACATGACCTGGCCACCTAACCTAATCACAGTCAAAATTGTTTTGGAGCAGTCTGACCAGAAAGTGAAGGAAAAGCAGCCAATGAGTTCTCTAGTGCTCAGCATAAACTGAATGTAGGACCACCTTCAGAACAGCCGGAACAGAATCCCAGGAGGCCACCTCCTGAAACTGGCGTAGAAGAAAAAGTAGGGCCAGCCAATCCCTGGAACAATTAGGGTTAAGGGTCTTGTTCAAGGTGGGATTACTCTGCTTGTACAAAACGCCCTCAGACTGTTAAGGATTTGGTGATTTAAATTCTTGTTATTTAGTTGCTACTAACGCTACGTGGAAGCAGCCATTAGTTTGTTGCTTCCATGGTAGTACTTGGGGCAAGCATGGTGCGAATTTAGCTGCGGTCTCCATTTTTTTCCATTCAGTAATATTAAACTTAACTGCTAAATGCAAGTGCCAGTACATTCTATTGTGTGTGTAAATGACTGAAAGACCACACACACACACCCACATACACACCCAAGCACCCACGTGTACACCTGTGCTATGTGAGACCTGGAGAAGGGATGTTGCACCTGAATAAAATAAAAAAGATTCACCAGGATCCTGAGCCTTAAGTGGTGTTTTGGCCGACACCATGAGATATACATAATTGGAATCAGACCCAGCAACTCGGGAGAGTGATCCCAACTGCAATCTCCACTACACTGCTGACTATGAAATTTGAATTGGCAACTTTCTAAGTCCCAGTAAGCTGTTCCCCAACAAATTATTACTTTTTTATTTAATAATTTTGGTCTGTGTATATCTCCATATGCATTATTTTACAGCTGTGATGTATTTGTAGAGAATATAGTACAAATACATTTTTCTGAGGGTCAGTGTATGATACTGTATGTTTATAGTGCTCTCATCTGGCAGCTTATGATGAGGTATTGTGAGTTTTTTCCATGTCAAGCATTACGATTAGTTTGCCATCTACCTGTGCCTAGTTTCCTGACCTTGATCTTGGATTACAATTTCTGTACCTGCTTATCTTATTCAGGGTTGGGAGAGGACCAGAACCTATCCCAGGCACCCCCACAAACAATTTGGTAACTCCAATTTACCTTAGCATGTGTTTGGAAACCAGAGAACCTGAAGGAAACCCCATAATGACATAGAGAGAACATGTAAACTTCATACACATGCAGCCAGGGTGGAGACTACAACCTTGGTCCCAGAAGTACGCAGCAATGCAGCTAACCACTGCACTGTCCCCTGATTTGAGTTGAGTTCAGTTCTATTTAGTCCAATTCAATGCAATTCACCAGCCACTCATACATAATTCAACCGAAAACAAGTAAATAATATGAATTCCCACAAAGCTGAATGACCAAAAGTAAATTTCAAATGCATTGTCTGTTCTACTTAAAGTCTATTCCTAGTCAAGTACTTACAACTCTTTAGTCAAAATGTTTTCTCAAATGATGCTACTCAATATTTTCTCCAGTGAGAGAACTATTTTCCCACATCAAAAATGCTTAAAAAGTCACTATTCCTGCTTTATAGATGGGTTTTTCAATAATTAATCTGTGAAACCTGGATTTTGGCCAATTTTATTAGCTAGTCGATATATTGGAGTCCTTGCCTAAACATTGTTACCCCCTTGATGGAGCAGCTATTTATCTCTATTATATAAGAAGAGGCCTTTCGATGGGCTGGCCCCCTGTCCTGGGTTGTTCCTCGCCTTGTGCCCGTAGCTTCCGGGATAGGCTCTGGAACCCCTGCAACCCAGACGGATAAGCGATTTGGAAAATGGAAGGATGGATGGATGTATAAGAAGAGACTTACTACCTTTCCTATTTGCAATCTGTCAGCAGAACCCTAGTAGCTTCTCGTACAGCTTGTTTAACCAAGGGTCCATTTTGTTGTTTTAGCAGGTTCAAAGTTTTTACAATCATTCAAAGGATCTAGATAAAATTTATGCCATACACTGTGTAAACGTGAAATTTATATCAGGCCTCTAGAATTGTGTGTATTGCAAATGCTTGTTCAATTCAGCCAAGAACCTTCAGTAAAGTTTTTAATCAAGCTTGAATGCTACAGCTAGTCTTTTGTCAAAGAATATACTTGAATATATGTAATGTCTACACAAAAGGGATTTTTGCTATTTTCTGACAAATTTACAGCTTGATGTCTGGTCTATTAGTACTAATTTAGGAGAAAAGTATGAGCTCAACATAGGGTATGATCATTTCAGTTCTGCACATTATAATGACAGTAAAGTCAGACAGGTGGTTGACATGAACTGACAGAGTAGGCATATAATAATTAATTAACAATAGGGCCAATTACCTGATCAAGTGGCACATTCGAGGGTAACAGGAATACATATATTTGCTCCTGGGGTGTGCTTCTAGGTGGCTGGAAAAGTAACACCTGTCCACGAACTTGAGATGTAATTAATGAAATTATACTTCTAATAATGCCAAAAGGAGAGAGATTCTCAACATGGATTTTCACATGAGTGTCTGTTACTGCAAAAGGCTTCAGTACTTGCATATTTCCACTACAGAAATGGGCCACAGACAGGTGCGCTCGTTCTTCCACTGGAAGAAAGACAGATGGGAACCAGTCATAAGGAATGTTACTACTTAATATTAATAGTGATTATTTTTTATAATCATAATATAATTTATTGATAGTATTGATTTAATGCACTTCATATGCAAATCAGGTTGACTGTACAGCTAAATCTACTATAAATTTAACACTGATATTTCTTCACTATGCTGTACATTTACTCATATCACTGACTGCCAAGTGTTCTAGAAGTTCATGCAACTGTCAGATCTTCTGTAACAAACTGTCCATTTAGCATACCAGTTACATAATTCACTGTTACAAACTCACCATCGGCTTCACAGTGTGGAAGCTGCAGTGAACAAAGCGCTTTCTCAGGATTCTTGATGTTGAACAGGGGCCCTGCAGGTTGGTAACCAGCAGTTTTCAAAGCAGCCTCATTCCAATAAGTGGGACTGTACTCCACCTTGCCTGCTGCCTTCATTTGAAACACCAGCCCTGTCGCGCTGCACTGAAAGTGGCCTTCTGATTCACTGCTGAAGCTGCACAACAGAAAGAGACATGGTTCGGAACAAGCGAAGAACTGAACGGGGAAAAAAAGTTTTATGCACTAGGATGAGATGTGAAGGGTCTCAAATTAAGGTTTATAAAGTGTTGGGCATTTCAGGTCCAGAAGCTACAAATCCAATATCCAGAACAAGATTTTGTTTCTATCAACCAGTTGAGCATAAAGAGTCACAGAATACTCAACTAGTTGGTAGAAACAATATTTTGGTCTGGATTTGTAGCTTCTGGACCTGAAATACCCAACACTGAAAGTAAGATTATGCCATTCAGCATATTATAAAATAAGCAGAGGTATGAGACAGTTAAGATGAAGCACAGATTACCTGTAGGAAAGTTCACCTTTATGATCATTTAAATCTGGTTTGAACTCCACTGTATTTTGATTCTAAGAAGATCAAAAAGAAGCAATTAGAATAAAAAGTCTGAAAAACCTATGTCCATGAACACTTATCTAAATGTATTTCATTCCAAATCAGTTTGTTACATATGTTACAGCCCAGCCATGTAGGAGCATGGGTGGCTGTTGTTTGCTAACTAGTTCTCTTTCATGTAGCTTCCTCATTGTGCTTGATCGAATATACCTGGGGAGGAGGCTTTATTAACCTTGGAAACTGCAGCCCAGGAGGTGGCTGTCTTCTCCCCTCTGCTATTTTTCCTGGCTGTATGCAACTGTTTTATTATTAGCCTATGGGCAAAGTGTTTAGGTGGTGTTTCTAGTTTTGCTTTGCCTTTACATATATGCACTTCCACTGCCACCCACCCAACACCTTGCTTTCACACTGATACTGACAGACCATACACATCTTTTATGTTCTTTTAACTCTTAGGTTATTTATAAAGGCAGATTTGTAATTACTTGCTGTATTTGGTCCACTTTTTGTTGTGGCCTTGAGCCGGGTCATGGCACACAACAACTTGGGGAGATTAAACAGGACACTGATATGGAACAACCAATGGCTTTTGGACAAATATAATTTTTAAAAGACCACAAGAGTAATAATACCACTGCAATATTTTAGACTTCAAAGAGGGCATCACATGCTTTGAATTTAATATGTAAAGGCTTCTTTAATCTTTCTAATTTAATTTTGATTTAAAAAATACATTTAACTCTGAATAAAATTTGACTGATTACTCATCATTATCTTTCAATTAATAAAATGTATGAATATAGCATCTGATAGAAAGGACTGATTAGTACCTTTGACTGGTCCCATAAATCGTGGTCTGGGTCTGTCAGGAAGGTTGCCATATCTGTTGATTTGTTGTTGAAAGGCCTGGAAACAAACCCACTTCCATTATATTTTGTCTCATCATACAGCATTATAAATCAGAACTCTATACCAGAGGTAGGCAAACTTCTCCTCAGACGTCCTGTGTGTATTCAGGTTTTTGGGATAACCTTTAGGTCAACTGTTCAAACACAAGTGTGAGAATTTTTCAGTGAATCTGTCCCTAATTAGTAATCTGATTATGGTGTCGCAGCAAAAACCTGCACACACAATGTCCCTTTCTGGATAAAATTGTCTACCCCTGCTCTACACCATTACACTCACCTAAAGGATTATTAGGAACACCATACTAATACGGTGTTTGACCCCCTTTCGCCTTCAGAACTGCCTTAATTCTACGTGACATTGATTCAACAAGGTGCTGAAAGCATTCTTTAGAAATGTTGGCCCATATTGATAGGATAGCATCTTGCAGTTGATGGAGATTTGTGGGATGCACATCCAGGGCACGAAGCTCCCATTCCACCACATCCCAAGGATGCTCTATTGGCTTGAGATCTGGTGACTGTGGGGGCCATTGTAGTACAGTGAACTCATTGTCATGTTCAAGAAACCAATTTGAAATGATTCGAGCTTTGTGACATGGTGCATTATCCTGCTGGAAGTAGCCATCAGAGGATGGGTACATGGTGGTCATAAAGGGATGGACATGGTCAGAAACAATGTTCAGGTAGGCCGTGGCATTTAAACGATGGCCAATTGGCACTAAGGGGCCTAAAGTGTGCCAAGAAAACATCCCCCACACCATTACACCACCACCACCAGCCTGCACAGTGGTAACAAGGCATGATGGATCCATGTTCTCATTCTGTTTACGCCAAATTCTGACTCTACCATTTGAATGTCTCAACAGAAATCGAGACTCATCAGACCAGGCAACATTTTTCCAGTTTTCAACTGTCCAATTTTGGTGAGCTCGTGCAAATTGTAGCCTCTTTTTCCTATTTGTAGTGGAGATGAGTGGTACCCGGTGGGGTCTTCTGCTGTTGTAGCCCATCCGCCTCAAGGTTGTGCATGTTGTGGCTTCACAAATGCTTTGCTGCATACCTCGGTTGTAACGAGTGGTTATTTCAGTCAAAGTTGTTCTTCTATCAGCTTGAATCAGTCGGCCCATTCTCCTCTGACCTCTAGCACCAACAAGGCATTTTCGCCCACAGGACTGCCGCATACTGGATGTTTTTCCCTTTGCACACCATTCTTTGTAAACCCTAGAAATGGTTGTGCGTGAAAATCCCAGTAACTGAGCAGATTGTGAAATACTCAGACCGGCCCGTCTGGCACCAACAACCATGCCACGCTCAAAATTGCTTAAATCACCTTTCTTTCCCATTCTGACATTCAGTTTGGAGTTCAGGAGATTGTCTTGACCAGGACCACACCCCTAAATGCATTGAAGCAACTGCCATGTGATTGGTTGATTAGATAATTGCATTAATGAGAAATTGAACAGGTGTTCCTAATAATCCTTTAGGTGAGTGTACACACAGTCACACACAGACCATTATAACCTATTTTTTTTTTTCAGTTTCAGTTTTTTCCTTGACTTATACAATAATGTAGTTCATATCATCCCTCCTCTTATGTTTTGGGATATTGGATTATCCCTTGGACAAAACAAAAACACCCTCTGTACCTATACAGAAAAACATTATGGTTCTTATATGGGTGCTAGCCTGCCAATTAGCTTGTATGATTATGGCCCCGTTCATATGATTCATACATGTATTATATATGATCTTACTAGGTCCCATAGATACTGGTCCTATATACAGTATGCATAGCCACATATGGATTATATTTTTATTCCTGGTGCAGTACAATAAACTTTAATATAATATAATAAATGTCAATTTCAAACAAGACTCATATGTATTCTCACAAGACTATTTAATATGGGAACATTTACAATAATGCAAACTGAACTTCACCCACATGCGACATTAAGCCCCACATATTCTGGATATAAATATAATATAGAAAGTACTGTCCTATACTCGTTCACTCCTAGTATTAAGCTTACAGTTTCTTTTTGATGAACTGGAAAAACTATAAGGGCATTATTTTCCACTGGCGAAAGCATGACACAAAGTGGTTTTGCTAGTTTCATACCAGCGCATTGCTTATTTTCATACCATGCGAGCATATCATCAAAATAGCAAACAATTTTGCACACACCTTCCGCTCATAGGTGTGGTGATTTTTAAATGAGCCGTGGCCAGTGGCATTTTTGGTGCATTGCTGTTTTAAGGCAGCGAAATGACATTGGGGAAATTCCACACTAAAAGCGAAAATGGATTGATTTTTAATTTACTGCACTGGTGTGAAATATTTGGGTTTTATTGCAGGGGACACCCCTAAGGGCCTAAACAAATGGTTACTCTTGCACTGACAAGCCTATTTATTAGAAAATTCTTCCTCAGAAGTTAGCATTGGGATAAAATCAATTTTTTCCTATTTTTACATGAATTTTATGATATACATTGCAAGATCAATTTCTTGTTAGATTTTGATTCTGTATTTGGTAATTATATCCCTTGTCCATGCACAAACAATAATGACAGTGAAAATTTGCCAGTTTTGGGGCTATCCACCAGGCAGTTGTGTTAAAAGTGGAATGTGCCAGCAGTGTAACGCGAGTCACACCAACATACTGAAGTTAGTGCTATTAACAGCTCCTTGTGAGAACTGAACTGTCATCTATAAATCTCCTCCTTTAAGGTATAAAGAACATAAACAAGGGGGCATAAGACCCATGTCTCCTTATTTCCTTTAGAAATTTAGCTCAGAAAAATGTAACGCGAGTCACTTGTAACGCGAGTCACAAAATCTTAGGTACTATAACACGAGTCACAAAATAAAACATCTCGTCTGTTACATCTGAGTGTTATCTTTTATAATTATTTCTTTGAGACAAAAGGATAATCAGTTTCTAAGGATCCCAATAGAGGTCACTCTTGCCTAATTACCCAGAATCCTGCTGACTTCCTTTTGTTTTGAAGCCTGACCCCTGTGACAATTTAACTCACTCCAAGGACACAATTGTGGCTTATATGGATTGTATCCTTTCACAACTTCCTGATCATGTTCAGAAACTGTCCGTGTGGTCAGATGGTGCTGCTTCACAGTTTAAAAATCGATTCATTGCTGCTGTCTTAGAACCACTGCAGGCAAAACACCATGTTGAAATCACCTGGAATTTTTTTGCCACCTGCCATGGCAAAGGCCCAGTTGATGGTATTGGTGGCGGTGTAAAAAGATTGGTTTGGAATGGGATTAGGTGCAGAAAATACATAGTAAACAATGCATCAACATTTACAGAAGCAGCAGCACCTAGCAATGTTAGGGTTCTAGAAATCAAACCCTCTGAGATAGAAGCCATCAATGAGTCATTGTGCCTAGAACAAGTCTTCAAAAATGCCCCAGCAATTGCAGGCATTAGTAACATCCATTGCATGAAAATGGTTGATGGCAACATTGCCACTTTCCTCTTGACCTCTGACATGTCTGATCAGAATAATGAGATGCAAGAGCCTGGAGCCTCCCAAGTTCCAGTTGTTGGTGAATGGTGGGCTGTGAGTTATGAAGGGGAGATATTCCCTGAAGTCCAGAAAATAGAAAAAGGTGAATACCAGGTGAAGGTCATGGTGGCCGCTGGGAAAAATTG